TAAGCAGTCTAGGAGATTCTTGGAGTGCATTGGGGATAATTTCTTAATCCAGGTGACAGACAGCCTGGCCAGAGGAGAAGCATTACTGGATTTGCTGCTTACCAATACAGATGAACTAATTAGAAAGGTCAAGACTGGTGGCAGCCTAGGCTGCAGTGATCATGCCCTGGTGGAATTCACAATCTTGAGGGATATGGGCCAGGTGAAGAGTAGAGTCAGGACCCTGAATTTTAGGAGAGAAAACTCAGGTGTTTAAGGAATTAGTAGATGGGAGCCTCTGGGAAACTGCCCTCAGGGATAAAGGAGCAGAACAGAGCTGGCAGCTTTTTAAGGTTTATTTATCTTAGAGTGCAAGAGCTCTCAATTCCCACATGTAAGAAAGTGGGCAAGGAAGGCAGGAGACTGGCTTGTCTCAGTAAGGATCTCCTGGTCAAACTAAAGTGTAAGAAGGAAATGCAGAGGCAGTGGAACCAAGGACATGTATCCTGGGAAGAACATAGGGATGCTGCTCAGATGTGTAGGGATGGGATCAGGAAAGCTAAAGCACAGCTGGAGCTGAATTTGGCAAGGAATGTGAAGAATGATAAGATGGGTTTCTACGGGTACATTGCTCAGAAAAGAAAGATGTATCCCCCCAATAAATAAGACAGGTGAACTAGTAAAAACTAGCATGGAGAAGGCTGAGGTACTCAACAATTTTTTTCCCCTCAGCTTTCACTGATAATCTCTCTTCCCACATCTCTCAAGTCCCTGAATCTCAAGATAGAGATTAGGGGAACAAAGTCCCTCTCATTGTAGGAGAAGATCAGGCTTGAGACCACATGGGGAACCTGAACATACAAAAGTCCATGGAATCCAACCAGATGCATCCCAGGGTCCTGAGGAAACTGGCAGATGTAGTCACTTTCCATCATATTTGAAAAGTCATGGCAGTCAGAGGAAGTCCCCAGTGACTTTAAAAAGGGTAATAAGGAGGACCCTGGGAACTACCAGACAGTCAGCCTCACCTCCATGCCCAGTTAGATCACAGAACAGATCCTTCTGGAAGGCATGTCAAAACATATGGAAGGCAAGTCAAAACATAGGGAAGCCTGGGAGGTGATTAGAGATAGGCAACATGGCTTCACCAAGGGCAAATCGTGCCTGACTAATCTAGTGGCTTTCTACAAATAAGTGGTTTATCAATGGACAAAGGAAGAGCAACTGATGTCATCTACCTGGACTTCTGTAAGGTCTTTGATATGTCCTCGCACAACATTCTTGCTGCTAAATTGGAGAGATGTGGATTTGATGGATGGACTGTCAGGTGGATGAGGAACTGGCTGGATGGCCACAGCTTCAAGAGTTACAGTCATCATCTCAATGTCCAAGTGGAAACCGGTAATAAGTGGTGTCCCTCAAGGGTCCATACTGGGACAATACTATTTAATATCTTCAGTAATGACTTAGGTAGTGGGATTGAGTGCACTCTCAGCAAGTCTGCATACAACACAAAGATGAGTAATGCAGTTGATGTGCTAGAGGGAAAGGATGCCATCCAGAGGGACCTTGACAGCCTTGAGGCGTTCAACAAGGCCAAGTGCAAGGTCCTGTACATGGGTTGGGGCAATCCCTTGTATCAATACAGACTGAGGGATAAATGGATGAAAGCAGCCCTCCAGAGAAGGTCTTGGGGATATTGGTGGATGAAAGAATTGGACACAAACCAGGAATGTGTACTTGCAGCCCAGAAAGCCAAATGTACTTGGCTGCATAAAAAGAAGGGTGGCCAGCAGGTAGAGGGAGGTCATTCTCCCCCTCTACTTCACTCTTGTGAGACCCCACCTGGAGTACTGCTTCCAGCTCTGGGGTCCCCAGCAGAAGATATACATGGACCTGGTAAAGCAGGTCCAGAGGAGGGCCATGAAAATGGTCAGAAGGCTGGAACACCTCTGTTTTGAAGAAAGGCTGAGTTGGGGTTGTTCAGCCTGGAGAAGAGAAGGCTCCAGGGAGACCTTATTGGGGTCTCTCAATACTTAAAGGGGGCTTATAAGAAAGATGGAGAGTTCCTTTTTACCAAGGCCTGTAGTGACAGGACAAGAGGCAGCAGTTTTAAACTGAAAGAAGCTAGCTTTAGATTGGGTAGAAGGAACAAATTGTTTATGATGAGGGTGGTGAAGCACTGGAACAGATTGCCCACAGAAGCTGTGGATGCCCCATCCCTGGAAGTGTTCAAGGTCAGGTTGGATGGGGCTTTGAGCAACCTAATGCAGTGAAAGATGACCCTGCCCATGGCAAGGGGGTTGGACTGAATGATCTTGGAAGGTCCCTTCCAACCCAAATCATTCTTTGATTCTATGATTTATCTGGCTAATATAATCCCGTGATTATCTATGCAGTCTTAATAGATTTTCTAGCTACTGCTGTTAATGACACAATATAGACTGAAAGGAAAATAATTTAATATACCTCAAGAACTGAACTAACATTTTTGGTAAGTATAATAACATCCTGTATTCAGGTCCATTCAAGTGATATTTTTCCAGAGGAAAGAAAAAAATATATATAAAGAGTCTTCAGTAACTCATCATTGTGATCAAGTCAATGTATATTCCTCCATCACAAGATGTGATAATAGTGATAGAATTACACAGCTCTGTCATTAGTCAGGTTTGTATGTGTTCTTTTATGTAGAAATTTACAAATCAAGTGCAACTGAAACACACCAGATTTACAGAAATAAGTATATCTTTCAAAAAGAAGATAATCCAGAGTAGCAGAATTTGATACAAATATTGCCAATCTTCAAACTGTATTTCATAACAAGTATGTTACTTTTTTAACTTTTATGAATAATCATATTTGTTTTCCATATGGTTGTTTACCTGAAGAAGTTTGTATTTTCTCTTTCTTTTTTTTACTTATGAAGTAAGCAAAAAATACATCTAATTCACCTAACATCTTCCAATGTCTAGGCAGAACCTAATGCATTCTTAAGGATCATATTTACATTTCACCCCGGAAGAAAAAACAGAAATATGCTCATCAACCACAATTCCTCTGATTTTGAAGTGCTAAATGCATATTCTGAATATCTTCTGTTTTTCTCATTCAGACATAGACCTTCTAGAACAAAGAATAAATTCCATAGTGTCTCAAAAGTTACATTTGCCACTGTTGAGAAGCAGTATTTAATGCCAAATATAACACCATATTTTTTCCTAATCCATTTAAAATCTTCAGAGTTATTACTTTTAAGTTTCTTATATGAATGCCTCTGTATTCTGCCTTTTCTCCTAAATGCCACAATATAAAAATACAGCTTTTTGTCTTTTTTGTTTGTTTTCAATATAAATACATAAAATAGGAGTTCATCAATGCAAATATTGCATTTTTTCCTTTAGATTGATGTGAGGCAGCTGGTCAATGAAACATTTTAAACTACTTATAATCATCTGTATCCTTCAACAATTTTAGTTTTAAGAAACCAAGAGAAAACTTTTGAAGACATCCATTAAATAACATTTTTTACAGATAAATAACTATTACTAAGTTCCTGGGTATACAATTTATTTGACAATAACAACAATTTTTTTTTAAATAGTCTTGAGTACTTCACTTATATATTTACTTTCCTTTTTTTCTTGTTATTTTTTCTTTTTTGGGTGTGTTTCTGAGTACCAAGATTGCATGCATAAATATACCAAAATATCTTTCTATATTCCTGTCTTTGTGTTTAAATCTGATTCTAACATAGAAAAAATGCTCTTTTGTATTTAAACAAGAGTCAAAATCAGGGACAAGAAAAAAATTCTCAGTACTCTGATGAGCTAGATCATTGTTGAAACACATTAACCACATTAATAGATAGCTCAGCAAAAGAAGTTTCCTGCATTCCAAAATAGTACATGCCAAGACTATAGATCATATTTGCTACCAAGAAAAACAAGATTATAAATCTTTGTAAAAGCCATTCTAAAAAGGCAACACAAAAAAATTACTATATTTTACCTTGTGTATCTAAAATGCTGGAACTATGAGCATTCTAGCAGTCTATATGCTATTCTATACAGACTATATACTTTTTCATTAAGATTAAAAAAATTTCTAATGTCTGATATTATGAGCAAATTTTTAGCTTAATTTTCTATGGAAAAGTAGAACTTCAATAAATAAACATTCATTTGGAGAAAAGCCTCGTACACGCAAACATCCAGGAGTCAGAATCACAGAGAAGGCAGAAAAGATTTTTGGTCTCTTGTCATGGATCTAAGGTTATTTTGTTATTCAATCTAATGCTGACAGAAGAATATTTATAATGTCAAGAAGATGCAGCTCTTTTTCTGTTTGAAAGACAGAAGTATTAATTTCTCTCAATATTATAATTCATTATTATGGAGTTCCCTATATTTAGGAAGATAATTTTATATCACTCCTTGAAATTGCTTGACTCTATATTACCTGCAACATAAATTCCATCAGTGTGTATAGCCTGTTTTATCTGTATTACCTCTACATCTTCTGCCCTAAAAAACAATTTGCATGCAGAAATAATAAATACAGATAAGTAGTAACGTTTTCCCTCTTCCTACCATTGCCAACTGTTTTGAAACTGGAGAGTACTCATTCTTGATTAATTTTCTTCTTTTTTTTTTTTTACATGGTATCGAGAAGATTTTAATGAGAAAAGATACAAGTTCTCAAAACTTGTTAAATCACTGAACCAAGAGCAAATATGATATGATGACAAATTTAACATAAACCTGCACTGACATAATTATAAATATCCAGTCATTTTTATCTAAGGTGAAGGAAGCTGTCAAAAAGAAGGGAACATTTAGCCTAGCACAGTTTCCATAAAATATTGAACAGAATTCAAAATTAATATAATACAGTCAAATTATCCATCAGCAAGAATGTTTTAATAACAAAACTGGCACAAGGATCTATGATTGATCAGTAGATAAATTAAGCAATAAAATATTTCTATGCAATTGGTGATGAAGAAAAGAGTCACTTACCTAAAACCCCCAGCCTGTAATTGAGAGTGACAACAATGACATTTCCATAACTTGCGAGAATGCTGCCATCAATCATGTTGCCAGTACCCTCCATGTAAGATCCACCATGGATGTAGACCATAACGGGTTTCTTGCTGTTCTGATCATGAATGTCTGAAAAAGTTCAAGTAAGGAAAACATAATAAAGTAATAAAAACCAAGGAAATATGGCATTAGCAATTTATAACAGTGCTAAAACTATTCTTAATTATTTCCTATGTTTTCAATGTTATCACCACCACTTTAATCAGCTAGCTTACACAGTTCAGGATCATCCTACAAGCCTAATATTTATAGTTTGAATATCTCTCTTGGTTACTTCAAATATTATTTCCTCTGAAATGTTCTCAGAACACTTGAAATGCCTTCAATGTTATCAGGAATTTAATTTGAATATAAGCGCCTAAAAGCCTAAAGAGAAAAATCAAATTATATATATAATATAATTATAATATAATATATTATATTAATTATAATATAATATATATTATATTATTATCTTTAGAATATTCTGATTCAAGGATATGCCAATTTAGAAATATCTGTACATTTAATAATGAAATTACAATAATGATCCATACTTTCCATTCCTCACTGAGACATAATTGTTGAAATTATATTCCCAATAACTCAGTAAGAGATAATAATCACAAGAGATAATATCACAAAATCAAATTGTTCTGACAGAAGTAAACATAGTAGACTGTTCCTTCTTTCAAATAGCCTAGCAGTTAACAAACAAGGAGAATTCATGTGAATTCATGGCCCAGTTTTTTTGTATGTAAAGCAAGCGATGTCTTTCGTGTTGTACTTTTCCTTGTCATGGTAGCTAAGCCTTAAAGAACAGGCTTGAATTACTGCTCCTTAATGGTATGGCTGATCTTTTGTATACACAGAAAAGCTCTTGACTACTTTCAAACAGTCAAACACTTGGGTCTTTATTTCTAAAAGAAAGTTAAATGAAATTGATAGTAATATTTTCATACTTCGGAGTGAGTTATAAAGATGCACTAATCAATGATTTGGGGTATATTTAGGACTGGATTCATATCTCTTCCTCTAATAACCAAAAAGTTAAGACTCCTGACCCCAGTGATGGTTCAGACTGTGTAAATTAGGAACACATATTCTCTACAGAAACAGTGGGAACAGGATCTAAGCTCCTTTAAAAAGCAGAGGGCAATTCAGTGAGCTGCGGTTAGGTATATACACCTTTTACAAATAATTCAGTGCATCTGCATATGGAATAGGAGCACTTCTTTTAATCATATAGTACAACATACAAGGGAAAGCAGAGTCTCTGACTATTCAATCAGGACTGAAAAAAAAAAAAAAAGCTGTATTCTCTTTTGGGTAGGATAGGCATATATTGAACAGTGGAATAGGGAAGTGGTGGAAGCAAAAGCTGAGATAAATACCCAGAGGCAGGGGACCTCGGTTTGAAAGCCTTCCATAACTCTTCCCGCTCCTCATGATTGTTAGGAAGTACTCTAAGATACCAAAAATGTGACCAGAATGAGGCACCATATATATAATATTTTGTATATGTGGAACTAATTTGAGCATATTTAAAGGTAAAGTATGACTGGTCATATTCCTATGGCCCAGTTTTACTTTACTCATGTGTATTCACTACCCAAAATATCAAAAATTGACAGCTGAGTGCAAGGCTCCAATGTACACCTGTCTAGTTGTCAGAATTTAAGGCTTCTCGTAGAATCCTCCTTCTTTACATAAAAAGATACATACTTTACATGTTGTATTTTATGTGTTGTACTTGAGCAGCAGAACAAAAGGTTTTGTGATAAGATCTTTTTAATTGTTGTGAGTATAAGAGTAATGCAGCTATAAAACGTCTCATATAAAGCAATTAGGTACATTCTAGTGGATGTATTTTTTTTTATTCTCAGCATTTTCAGCAAAGTACATGAGTGTTTCTTCTGTGAAGGCTCAGTTAAGCCCTCAAAAAATGAAAGCAACAATTATTTAACACCATTATTTGTGTTACTGAATTACCTTTCCCTCCTCTCTCCAAACTCTCTATTACGTACTTCTACCTCAGAGTTGAATCTTTCACTGCTGAAGTCAATGGGAGGTTTCCTCTTCCCCTTCAGTGGGAACATGATTAGCTTCAACATAAACGAAATGAGGTCCATGCTTTATGTACTTAGATCTAAAGTGGATGCTCTTGTTAATCATTAAACCCTAACGTCTTATAATTTTTTAAGAAGTCTGAATAGTAATGTATTCATAATCTAATATCTATCTTAAGTTTTTAAAGCAGTTCTGGTTTTGCTTGTTACTTTTGCTCTAAAATTAACTACAGAATTTGGTGTAGCAAATGATGATACCATAATTTGAAAAAGTCATATGTTGCACAGAAATAGGAAGGTGATATTCAGAAAATAACAGTATTTTTTGAGTATTCTGCACAGCATTTTTCTGTTATAAGAAATAGTGTAATTCAACAATCAAGGTGGTACAGTAGAGGACAACCAGTGTGAATTTTTATTACAGTATTTTATGTATGGGTAGAGTAGCTACAATAGAGCTGTACTCCCAGAGAAAGAGGAAATAGTGTCCCCACGGCAGTATGCATGGTTTTAAGGGGAACACAGAGGACAAATGTTTCAAAGTTATTTGAACTGATGTCAGATAGAAGAAAACAGGAAAAAAGACATGGATATACCTTGGATTGGCCAAGCTTGAGAGGAATAAGAAACACATTGCTCCAAAAACAGACCAATAAACTACCCAATGTTGTTATCTTCTCAATTAATTTGAAAATATTTTTCTTAATTTGGTGAATATATAAAGTAAAATAAACTGTCAGTATAACTTTAATGAAAAAGAAGGGTGAGAACAGAGGAAGATTTCATGACTTCTTTCTATTTTGGTGCATCCTAAATAGCTTTGCTGTGCCAAGGCAAGAAAAAAGTATTTCCTTGTAAAACTTTTTTGGGGTACTTCACTGTGAACTTTAACATTTCCTTTCAAGGAATCCAATCCAACTCTGAAAGAAGTCAATGAAAATGATTGTCATTGATTTCAGTGGGAATGTGGTCAGAGTCAGAAAGAATGTATCTCAGAGGCTAGCTGATTACAGGAAAAAACAATAAAGCAACATCAACAGCTTCCTTTATTTTTGTGTTCTGAAATAAACCACATCCTGTGAGAAAAAAATAAATAAATAAAAATAGCAAAGACAAATCACAATTTAACTGCATCAATGTACAGCATGTGCACTGAGGAAACAGTGGAAGTGAAAGGAAGGATATATGTGAGTTTTTTCATTAATTTCAAACAGGTGAATTTACAAAATGTGTAGGAGGGAAAAGAGCACATGCATGTTTTTAATTTCCATTTTCTCAACCTAAGAAAGAATAAGGGGGGAAAAGTATGTGATTTCAAATAATATTTATGTTACTCACTTCACACATATTTAGGAATATCCTATACACCTATGTCACAGGGGAACTACAGTCATCTATATGCTAATTTGGATTTTAAAAATAAAAACAATGAAAGGAATTTCTAAAGAAGAAAATAAAGCACGCTGAAGTGTGCTTCTGCAAATAAGGGACTAAAAATAATTTTGAAATAACAGCAATAACAATAACAATAATAATTATTATAATAAAAATTTAAAAGTTTATGTTCATGCATCAGGGTTGAGCTTTGAAAAAACAAAAAATACCTTCATCTTCACCACGATCATTACTGGTTATATCATCTGCGCTTTTCTTTGTGTTGGCTCCTGGGATCATAGTGAGGAGGAGAATAAAGGGAAAAAAGAGAATTCAAAAACAGCAGGTTCTCAAAAATAAAAAAAACACTAGTACAAAAAAAAATGTAACAAAAATGTCAAAATCTGTTACATTTGAAATTGAAAAACAAAAAAGATGCAAACTGCACATAAACATAAAATGTCAAGAAGAACAAATTGAAAATATTTGAAAAAATGTATTGTGTTCTGTGACAATGCAGTTACTTCAGTTAAAAGTGATTTCTGCAAAAACAAAATTAATGTGCTATTAAAAAAGAATAATATAAATCAAAAAAGTATATTAAAAAAAATTACCAAACTATTGTTTCTACATAAGAAATGCAATGTATTTCATTCTGTTCTGTAACCTTGAAGAAATAATGCCTTCAGTCACTATCTTCAATGACTTAACATTTTATTCATCCTCATTAGGATTTATTAAGAATTAACCACAGCCTGAATTTTAGATGGAACCAACGCAAATAAGATTATCATTGGGTCTTACACAACTTGAATGGACCAAGACAAACCATAAAGACCTCCTTAAAATTTAATCTTGCTTCACATATGAGCAAAAAGATATTTAAAACAATAGACTGTAAACAAAGGTGTAACAGAGTTGAGTCGATCCCAGACATGAAATTGGTCCAAAATTAGCTTTGGTTCATATTATACCACATTTCATGTTCTTTAGAAAAACCTAGAAATTAACTGAAAACAGTTACTTACCATGATAAAGAACTTGCACTTACTTATTAGAAGATTTAGTAAAGAATACATTTTAATTTGTATTCAGTATGCTTTCCCAAAATACTTTTGAGGTGCATACATGCACACACACACAAACACACACACACACATACACACTCATGTCCATACTTGCCCTAGCCTGTGCTTACGGTAGCAAGAGGAAATAAACATAGTTTTCCCCACCCCTCTCCTTGGGCAATACTTCTGTTTTCTGACTGAAAAAAAAAAAGACACCAAACTATTCTTGCACCCAACATTTCATTATACTGTGCTTACTCCTGTAGGAAGTAGCCCTCTGTAATGTAAAAGGTTACTTGATAAAGAGTGAAACATGAATAGGAAACTGAATTTCTAATTTAGTTTAGATATGAAATATGGCTACTGAACAAATAAAATGGTCTAAGTCACAACTCTAACCACTTTTTTCCTGAATTCTCTTTATTTGTGTGTTTTTATTGATAAAATTTATTTATTTATTTATTTATTGTGTGTTTTCAAGCCATACGGAAAAAGAACATTATATTAACTTGTTTATACATGAGTTTGTGTGTGAAGTCTGAATATGTCACAGAGACATCATATTTAGTTAAAATAATTATTTTATTACTTTCTTTTATTCTACTATTTAAAATGTCACTATATCCCTCCAAATTCAAGGTTTCAAGTAAATCTCAGTCCATGATTGTAAGACAGAATGCATTTATTTGTTACTAAAGTACTTAAGATTTGTTAATATACATAGTTTTGGGTTCTGCACACTGGTTTGCTTGTCTTCTTGATACATACAATATAGATTTTCTATAGACATTTTCTGGAAACATTCTGTCAAAATGTGAAAAGCAGTGGCTGAGACTCCATCTCCACACAAAGACTGCATCTTCAATGTAGTTGTACGCAAGTTACTGTGTATGTAGTACAGGAGTGCATTCAATTATATGTATTCAGTACATGATGAACTAGGTAAAATATCACTGTCAATGAAATACAGATGTTCTCTAATCTATCAATTTCTTTGAGAAATGTTGGCTACAGTCTCTGAATCTCAGTCACCATCCAAGTTTTGTCCTTTTTTTAAATACTTTTCCATATTAGTTTTAGCTCAATGAAGGTTGAATCTTTTCTCAAGTGCTACGCAAATAAAATTAATTTTGTATTTAGATAAACCAAGTACTCCACCCATAAAGTCCCCTTAAACTATTTTTGATTAATGTAAAAAATTAATGAGAAATAATTATTCATAGAAAATAAATCCACCTAGACACAAGTTTGAGAGCACATAACAGAAGGAATTTTGATCTTAGTTCCCCAAGTGAGATAGTCTTCTAATTGTTTGATAAAAAAAAATCATTGTATGCCAAATATAAACTCAACTACCACATATCATTCCTATGAATTTAAAAATAACAAAATCAATGTGACCACATATACATAGTGTCTGTAGACAAAAACTGTATGTGCAATTATTTAGAATGTAATCCATATTTAAAGTACTTTGAGTGAAAGAAGTAGATATGTCCCAAAATGTTTTAGTTCAGTTACTCTCCTCCCAAAATCATCAATACATATATCAGTAACATATTGCAAGGATTTTCTCTCTAATGTGCTTCCTGAAGTGACTCTGGTTCTGTGTACTTCAGAAAGAACACAAGTGTAATGAGAATTTAGAAAATGTCACCACACCATCACTCTTATGATGAGACACAAAATATCACATAACACAGGTATGTGACATAAACATAAGGTTATCTGCAATATTTGAAACATTCTTTATTTCTTCCTTCATTCTTCACAGCTTGAAGAAATCATGGAGTAACCGATTTTCAGAACAACTTAATATAATTCTAAAATGTATTTAGTTACAATCTGAGTGGGAATACTGTTTCTCTTATGTGTTGTGGAACAATCTTTCATTTGTCTATTGGTAACTGAAATATATTTTTATAACTAAATTCTTAGGTTTGAGGGGTTTTTAAATTCATTTTGAGATCTGATAAAATGATTTACATGAGTTCTCAAACTGGGTTTCTGTGTTCCTACCACATTGGATTTTTTTCTTACTGTGGGTATTAGCCATAGAATCATAGAATCATTTAGGCTGAAAAAGACCTTTAAGATCACTCAGTCCAACCATTAACTTAACACTGCCAAGTCCCACTTAACCATGTCGCTAGATGCCACATCTACATATCTTGTAAATATCTCCAGGGATGGGGACTCAACCACCTCCCTGGGCAGCCTGTTCCAGTGCCTGATTACTCTTTCAGTGAAGAAATTTTTCCTAATATCCAATCTAAACCTCCCCTGAAGCAACTTGAGGCAGTTTCCTCTTGTCCTATTACTTGTTACTTGGGAGAAGAGACCAACACCCACCTCGCTACAACCTCCTTGCAGGTGGCTGCAGAGAGCGATAAGGCCTCCCCTCAGCCTCCTCTTCTCTAGGCTACACAACCCCAGTTCCCTCAGCCACTCCTCATAAGACTTGTGCTCTAGACCCTTCGCCAGCTTCATTGCCCTTCTTTGGACACACTCCAGCACCTCAATGTCTTTCTTGGAGTGAGGGGCCCAAAACTGAACACAGTATTCGAGGTGCGGCCTCACCAGTCCTGAGTACAGGGGGATGATCACTTCTTGCCGGCCACACTATTTCTGATACAAGCCATGTAGGTAATAATGTTGGTATGGAACTGTTTGAGGAGAAGTGTTATTGTTGGAATTATTTCAGTAGTTCCAAAAGCACCTAAGATACTCAGGAGCATTGTTTAGAAAAATTATATTGATCTTCTGAAAATATAAGCTTCCAGAAACATATCATCTCATACAGAGAGGAAAAATTGGAATTTTCCAACCCCGTTGTCTGTTTTTTGTTAAAAATGTTGATTCATTTGTTCTGAAATTTCTACAAGAAGATGGTATTCCCTGTCATAAAAAAAAAAAAACAACCTTGCTGTCACTCTAAGGTTAGCTTAAGATTGCACTTAAAGTCATTAATCTAGGAGACAGAATGGGAATGTGACTTGGAATCTCCCGTGGCTCAGAATTCCCTCCCTGCACCAACTGCTTATCCCACAGACCAGTGCTTCCCTCTGCTCTGGGCCTTCTTTTGGGGGTGTCCAGGGTTGGGGTATTTTTCTTCCTCACATGTATAAAAATCACAGGAGCACCAATCTTAGCCTTGTATTCCCATACACCAAGTGAACATTATCACTGTATTATAGGATTGGCCCTTCTGCAGTCTAAGAAGTGTTTACTTATTCATCCCACATGAAACATAGACAGTAAATCTTAACAGCAATCCTGGAACCAGCAGTAGAGCAGAGAGCAGGGCAGATAGCAGTGGTGATCTAGCATGTTAAAGACTGAATTCCAGGAGTATATCTATTGACCAGCCTAGGGTTTGACTGGAGTTGTTGGTTTGCAAAGTTTGTGTTTCAATTTTCATGCTGATGAAAAGTACCAGAGAAAAATATTTCAAAACATTAATAGGATGGAAAATTATATTCCAAATGGTCAAGGTGAGGAAATGTTTAATTACGTATATTAAATATGCTGTAGGTATTGTAGCTCTACTGAAGATTACATTTGTATAAAAGTTCATGTTTTAGAAAGTTCTAAGAGGCCTTACTGTTAATGACAACTAGAAAAAGATGTGACTTCATAACATATATATTAAATACCAGGTGACCTCTTTTCATTTGTCCTACAATTCCATTCATTGCTGAGTGAAAAAGGCATGGTGTAATTCCTTACTGAACTGTGTCAAGCCTCTTTTATAAAGGACTTGTGCTTGCCAGAAAATGTTTGGGTTTTTCTTAGGATGTAGCATGATAGTACAGATACAGAATAACGTAGGCATATATGAGCCAGTTCCAAACTAGTGCCAGTCAATGTAGCCATAATAAAGCAGAGTTTCATGTGGGCTACTTTTTTTCCTCCCTAAGAAGCTCTATGTGCAATGCAGTTGCAAACTTTAATTCAGTAAGTATCTCTCTTTAAAAGGTTTTAATTCTGAAACACTGACCCATGTGCTGATTAACTTTTAAAAAATACTTGATTTTATTTATCTATGGATGTAAAGTCACCTTGTATTCCCAGATTCATTCTCGATGCCATGCATACATCTATCACAAATGAAGAAGTCACCCCACTGTAAGCACATCCTCTGGCTCACATTTCCTTTGATAATGAATAAAAATCTCATTCAGAAATAGATTTTCTGGGGTTGCAAGTCTTCCCAGATGTAT